CAGAAGGCGGCAACTAGAGATTCTTTTAGACCTTTCTCCCTCTCTTAAATAGCTTCTCTTCAGATGCTTTGGCTATTGCTTATCTTGGGATCCCAGACTGGATCTGCAAAAAGCACCTTCAGGTAAGACATCGCTTCCCTGCAGCTATTGGATCCCACCAGCTTTGCCTGAGACAGTGCACAAGCCTCTGGTCTGTATTTGCAGAAGGCCCACGGATTATTTTAAAAAATCCCTGAGTGTAGATGAGATCATTTATTTTAGGGAGTCTTCTCATCAACACTTCTAAATTAACTTTGGTGGCTTTGCCTGAAATGGATTAGGAAACGTATACGTAGATCTTTCAGTGAGCAGAATTATCGGGACAGCAGCATCTTAATGGGAGCATTAACATTTTCAGCCAGTGCTGGCCAATGCTGGAGAGTAATAAAACCTACTTAGGAGTGAACAGATTCCCAAAGCTGAAAACATGTGGTGTTATAATTAAAATTAGGAAGAAAAGCATTAAACATGTAAGACTGCCTCTAGGTAAAGTCTCAGTCTTCTGGTATGTGTATGCTTTTGCAAGTGATAAAAAACAAGGGCTGTTGTAGCTTAGCCCCCCCCAAAAACCTGCAGTCAGAAGTACTGCTGATAGTTTTTCTGCTTTCCACCTGAATTTCCTCTCTTCATTCAGAGAACATCCGATGGGCTGCTCATGCCAATGCTTAGCAGCCTGTAAAATATGTTGCTATAAATAAGAAAGTCACCCGTGTCCCGGGAGTTGCAAACTTCCCCTTTACTCTCTGCTTTCTTCAACACAGGCAGCCTGAACATCCTCACGGCTAAAACCGTTTCAAAACTGTGAACCTAAATGCCTATTTCCCACAGAGCTAACAGTTACACATTTTGTGTTACCCAGCTCTTTGTTTCAAAACGGCTGTTCACCGCGTCTTAAATGTTTTTTCTTTGTCTTTATTCTTCAAACCGCTGAGGCAAATAACGCAGAGGTTTGTAAGATGTGCATTTACAGGTTGGAAAGAACGTCAGTGGGTCAGCTAGGCCCACCTCCCGCTCAGAGCAGCCCTGGGCACTGAAAGGATGCCACTGTGCTGGGCACTAGGCTTGAGTTGTGTCATTGACCATGTCGGACTGTACTGTTATCCAGGAAAACTGCCTAGAAAAATCTCCTAAACAAGCACTCCTTCCAGAAAATAATTTACTTGGATTCACAGTATTAAGTGTATTTCCAAAACGGCTTTTTTCCACTACAGAACCGATAGGGAATATCTGGATCAGAACAGCCATTGAAGTCAACCACCCTGTGCCAAAAAATTCTCAGATCTACCTCTCCACTTTGATGGCAGGTGCAAAGCAAACTTTCAAATCAATTCCCACAGCTGTTCCACAACACTTGGTTAAAAAAATCACTTCTCTTACCCATGAACAGTAAAACACTAACATGCTGCTTCTATGAAAACTACATTTCTTCTAATTCTTGCTGTACAAACACCAGGGCTGCAGGCTTCTACCCGAGGCTGGCTGGGAGGACGAGGATAGCTCGGGAGGATTCATTTTAAAAGCCTTCCTCTGCTGGGCATTTTGGCAGGGGTCTCTAAATGCTGATACATAACTGAACATATATTCTTCTGCGTTATAAGGGCTGGGGAGGGGGCATTTCCCTACTTTACTTAAATCCTTAATGGAGTCACATCTTTGATGACAGATGTGTATTTTACCAGTTTGGTAAAAAGCAGATGAGGTGGACACTTCAATACAGAATACCTGTGTTCAAGGAAAACAGAACATGTCTTTCAACCTCACAAGGACATTTTACATGGTAACGTTCATAGAGCTGGTTTTACAGAGCTTTCGTACCCAACGGTTCCACCCAGAAGACGGAAGTACGCCAAACACCCACATACCTCGGAAGCAAGTACAGAGGCTGTACAGACATCGCAGGAAAAACAGTGTGGACACTGTTCAAGCAATGCACGAATATTTTCTAACATGCAAACACACAATGGCAGTTCCCCCAAACACTAATGATGAAAGAGTGCCAAACACATGTCCAGTTCGGACCCACAGGCTAGGCAAGTCCCCGGAGGAGCTCATGAGCTGTGAGCGTTCAGGAGAAGCCTGCGTGTTTCGGCTTTGCTCAGGCTGCGCAGGAGATGGAGCAGAACCTGGCAGCATTAAGGAAGGGTGGGGAGAATCCACACCAGGTGAGATGAGGCAGACCATGAATGCAAAATTGGTGTGAAAGGATTTAGTGCAGTTTCATTCTCTTTGGGGCTGTCGCTTCCCTGACATGTCAAAAAGGGAAACGCCGCGGTAGGCACAGCTCACTGGAGTTAGAGATACAGAGCGCTGTTTTCCTTTGCATCACACGGCCTTGGTGTGTTGTACCTAATTCTTACTTGGACGCATTGTTGTGTGTTGTCCTTAGTTCTTAATTAACGCTGACTAGATCGCTTGTCCAAAGAAATACAAATAAAACCAGATCATCGTTCTTAGGCTTAAAAAAGAAAAGTAACTCGTTTTTTTTTTTTCTGCCACTCTAGAGTTTGTTTTCTGTGCACTCACTGTGGACTAAGCCAAGGACATGAATCAGGGCTCTCCCTTTGAGTATAATTTTTCTCAGGACTATGCCATTTATTCTGTTCTCAGGTCAGGATATGGGTGCATAAATTAGCTGCAGGGTTCTTTTTTGGGAACTCGGCAGAGGAGAAAGGTTTGGGATATGTGATTTACGTGTTCACTACAGCCTCTGGAAAAGAGCTCCCATAGTATTTCCAGAAACTATTATTGGATTCTTTCCCTTTTAGGGCAAGGAGCATCATCAGGACTGGATCTTTCTGTAGCTGAACATAAGAATAGTTTGCCATGACAGAGCAGAGAAATATATTAAAAATTCTATAAACATCCCATGTAAATGAGTTTACAGTTGTGCCAGCATATACATCAGTTAATTGCACTGATGGAATTTTTCTTGCTTCTCTGTAAAGTATTGATTAGAGAATAAAAAGAATGTTTTAAATATCACATCCTCAGCAGGTGTGAACTTAGGTAATTCATTGAAATTAATATAACCATGTTGCTTCTTCCAGCAGAAAGATCTTTCTTGTGTGCAGGTCTGTTTTATTTCAGGATATACACTGTCAATTTTGTAAATTTAACTAGAGGGCTTTGGATTAACATAATCTTTCATACTAACTCTGAAAGCCCTTATAGAGAAATAAATCCTAATACTTAAAGAAAAGCTTTCCAGCATTAATGTTTAATAAGAGATTCTGTACAGATGAAGTAGGGATTCAGGATATGTTCTCAGACTTGGGATAAATCTGTGGCTTTATTCCTTCAGATTGTACAGTGGAACTCAGAAGTTTGTAGAAGACGCAAACAAACCAGGCAAGTGTAAGATGAGAATGAACTGGAAAGTGCAGAAACAAATACAGTTCATAAATTGTGTCATGTTAGTATTTTCCAAATATTGCTCGTATAATGGAAATAAAAAAATCAACAATTTAATTCAAAAGGTCAAGCAAATTACCTTGCATAACTGTGTCTTCCTTTCATAGTAGGCAATCAAAGGTTTTGATGCTTGGTAATAGCTTTCAATTTCTTCCTTGACAGTTTCGGTGTTATCAGACTCCTGACTGCTCTGATTTCTCATCAGAAGGTGATGGCTCATGGTTTCTGCAGAGCAGTCCAGGCAGAACACAAGTTGTGGTTCCCCAATCTGGAGACAAAGTAAAAGAATTATGCGTTCAAACCACTGGCCTGGTAAAACTGATTTTGTTTGGACAACTTAAAAAAAGGAATGCTACTGAAAGAGCCATCAAGGAATTTATTAGCAAATTACCTTTGTATTTGTCTGTGCAAAAATTATGCTTATCAACAGCTCTTATTGTAGCAGCACTTAGAGATCCCAGTATTAGGGATCAAGGCTGTGCTTGACTGGGCTCTACGCATACAGAGAAAAAGAGACAAGATCTGAAAAACTCTGGCTACTTGGACTGAAGATTGGCAGTTTGTACATTATTTGCAGACATTTGATAAAAGCTTGATACAAACATCACTGGACTCATGGAATGCTTGACACAGATATTTTTTTAGCTGTTGCTTTGTGCAATCTGTGAAGAGTATATTTTCATCCAGGGAGTGGTAAAATGTGGCTTAGAATTTCAAGAGGCAATAGAAGGAAATGTCCAAATTAAAGTGTGCCCACTTGAAACGGAAATGAGTAGCAACAGACAGGCTCAGGGACACCATCAAACGCCTGTTATTGGACCAATTCACAGGAATACATCCTGTGAGTTACTTTATGTCACACAGTATTTTATGTCAATATTTGCAATGTAATTCTATGTCATTACTACCCATGGCACAAAGGAAGGATGTGATCTATTTCTCTGCATTTTCAAACTAGTGAGTAATTTCCAATTCTGTAAGAAGCCCACCACTTAGTGCTTTCTGGCTAGCGCCAAACTAGTCGTAAGGGAGAGTCTGCCCTTTTCTATAAACAAAATAAATATGGATTTATTTATTTTTATTCCCAGGCCTTGGAAAAGATAGTAAATAATTGTGTCTATCCACATTTTATAGTAGATATTGCAATACTTTATGGGTGAAACAGAACAGGCAAGAAAGAGCAAAATGTCCCGTGTAATATTTTAGGAGAGCCAAAAGATCTAAACACAAATACTCATCGTTCTTTCTCTGAGATGCTGAAAAATATGCGTGTCATTTAGCATAAATCTTGCAATACACACTGTCAGGGACCCTGCTCAGCACAGCTCCCTCTGACACAAGGTTTTGTCTGAGCAGTATCTGTTGGGCTGGGCCTAGAGGGATGAACTCCACTCTGTGAAGTGAAATAAATGTGTTACAGGATCAGAGAAAGAAAAATAACGTGATAATTTTCCATGCAGTTACGTATTAAATCCTTCAGTGCTGCTCTCAGCCTTTTTCTCATTCCTTCCATTCCTAGCAGGGATTTGGAGATTAGTGCGAAGTCTTGAGAAAAGACAACTATTCCTCGTACTAGTTACCATTAGAAATTCATGCTTTTACCATGGCTACAGCCAAGTCTAAATGACTGATAGATGGAAGCTGCTATTGCTACCTTTGTTGACAGCCTTAAAGGAAGAAACATTCTGAAGATATGTATTTCACATTAGGCCTTCTGCATTTGACTGAGGATCTCTGGATTATGTTGACCTTTCTACTACCTTAATAACTTCATAAGAGACAGTTGAAGCAAAGGGATTATGCTGGACAGTTCAATGACAGGCTTTTATCCATCCATTTCTTCCACACAGCTCAGAAAATCTTAATGCTATTGGCAGCAGCAGTATTGGGTTTTGGGACTAAAAAAGCCAACGAGGCAGTTTTAACAGTGCAAGACAGTTTGAGAAGTTAAAAAAAGATGTGGGCTTAATCAATGATTAAAACAAATGTCCTTTTTGTGTAGTTGGACGAGGATGTTGAAAAGTTATTTCCACCGAGCTCCACATGAGGAATTCCATGGTCTGTTCTGAATTATAGTAGAATAAATGAGGAATGATTCCTTTCATCTTTACAGTCATGTCATCACCTTACGATGAGGATATGAGGGAGTCTACTGACTGTTGGGATCAGATAATAGTGTCTTGTTTGACAGACTGGGTCTGATTTGCTTTTGAAAAATCTATGTGGTTCTCTTAAAAGTTTTAGTGTTGCTATTCTCTACAATTTAAAACATTACAGATGTGTCATTCCTCAGAGTTAAAACCTGCAAAAAGTAAAAGTAATGCCCCTATCAGACATTACAGCAATTTTTGCTACTGTGTTTTTTAAAAATTACTGTTTTCCTGACACAATTTAGCTTAAATAATACATGTTGTGGGGACATCTGCAGGAAGCCAAACAAGTCTAATATACTGGGTCTTTACTCTGTCTTACTGGGTATCTTCCACCTGGTGGTGTGGAACTTATAATTTAATATTGTTTTCTACTCCTCACCTAGCAGAAAGACCAAGCAGGGAACACAGACATGTGCTTTTCTAGAATTATAGCTAGGTAGAAATACAATTATATCACGGGCAACACTAGCTGGAGAATAAGGTAATTCTATTGAGGGCTGTCAAGCTTTTAAGTATAAGCACTGTTCCCGATGTCTTCTAAACAGAACAGCTCTTTGTTAACAATTACAATGCTTTTTACACATCATGTAGATATGCAGCATTATTAATTTGCACTGTGCTGCCATTGAGAAACAAAGCCTGCTCTCCACCTCTTTTCATTCAATTGTAATGTGGGAAGAACTTCTCATTGCCCCTTAGAAAGAACTGCAAAGCGTTACCTCAATAATGACACACATTACAAAAACTTCACAGCCTTACAGAGCAGCAAACAGCCAGCCAAGTTCCCCCTGGGAAAACTGAAGTGGATACATGACAGAACAGGAACGATTTAGCGCATTCAAAATCATCACTTGGGGTCCTTGTGTTTTAATCCAAATGCCAAAGGCAGCTCAAGACTACAGGATCTTTTGCTGCTACAGTGTCTGCAGGAACTGAAAGGGGCTCTGCTAGTGCACTGGATGCTTCAAGACTTGTTTGCCTGGCAATGCCTCAGGTCAGGCCACTCCAATCCCCAAGTCCTACTTTAATGCACACACATAATGTTCATGGGACATAACACATATGCCTGCCTGAAAAGCAGCACTACTCAACTAGTTCCTCATTCCACACAAAATTAAAGAGATTTCCAATGTCTTTGCAATAGTCTGTGGCATTTTAGTAAAGGAACTAATAGATCAGCATTTCTGTGAATGGCTTCTATATCAAATCCTCCTGATTGTTCTTTCAACCAGCTTCTGATGATCTTGCTAGGCTTTTCTGGTAATCAACTAAATAAAGCAGCTAAAGGTTCAGGGAGAAAACAGATGGTTCATTAAAATTTTATTACCTTTCAAATTTGTATAGAACATTTGTGGAGCATAATGTGGCAGAATACATACCTATTTCCCCTAGTTCACCACTTCTTTTCTACTAAACCCTGGCAAATTCATTCATAGGGTTTATACAGAGTATTTTCTGCAGATTGAGAAATGTACAGCTGAGCCTTCTCAGTAGGTCTTAGCACATACTGAGGAGATCAATAACGCTCTGAACTGCTACGCAGTCACTTGCAAAACGCGCTTTTTATGGCTATGCCACCTGTTGCTCATCACAAGAATTTAATCTGTGTTTTTCTGTTTCAAAGTGGCAGCAAGCTTTAGCAGAGCTGGCTCAGTGGTAACTGTGAAGATACATGCTTTCATGAACCTACATCAAATAGTGCTTGGTTAGATTTTCATGAGAAGCATAGCAGCCATCCACTAGAGTTATAAAACTGATTCTAAAAATGGTGCTTTTGACTAAATGTGAATTGTTTATATTAAATACGGGTAAAATCAACCTTTACTTCTCCTGGCATTACAGAGTCTGTGTAGTTTCAGTGACCAGCAGCACAATGCTGTTGGACTGGCCCTTTACACGTCCCTGTTGCAACCCGTTACCAAGGAGCATTAGAAGTACAGTCACATCGTAACAGGAGTTAACAGCATTATGATTATGTGGTCACCTTGCTCTCAAACTCTTCTGCTTCCTTCAGCTCCCGGGGATACCCATCCAACAGGAATCCTTTTGTGTCCCCCAACTTGGAAACCATGGCTTCCTTCAGTAGCTCTAGGACAATACCCTGCATGGGAAAGAATAGGAGTTACTTGGTTAATTAATAAGAAAGATTGACACATTTGTTTCTTAAACTGACTCTAGTCCTACATCCTTGAGAACTGGCCTGTTTCGCTAAAAGCAGGTCCTGTGGATGCAGGTGGTTTTCTTGCCCTGCAGGTAGCAGCACACCCTACTTTTTCTTCTCCCAGGCCCAGCTATGCTACACAAATCTACTGTTGCAACCTACCCCAAAGTGTCCTCTAGATAGCTGGGAATATTTCACAGTTTCAAAACTAACGTTAATGCCTGTGAAACTTTGGAGTACTGCTGCAGCATTTTCCAATCTGATTGCATTTAGCTCTGCCATTGATATAATTATATTACATGGAAAGTGCTAAGAGACCCACCTGACCAAACACACCAAAGAGCAAAGCAATCAAAATCAGGCCTCAGCACAGCTTTTAGTTTCCCCTGAGCAGCACTTCCCAGCGTCTTTCATTAAGAAACACATCCTATGATCTAGCTGCACTTGCTGAAGACCCACCAAGAATTGGGGGTGCTGAGCTGCCATGTAAAAGTCAAGTCCAGCTGAGAACAACACACTCTGCCTTCACAGTCTCCATTAAACTGCAGTCCAGCTACTCTGGGATGTCAGCCAGCTCTGCAGGGAACTGCCGCAGGTATTGTAAATTAGAACAGCTGCCAGGAGGACCAGCTCTGAATCTGAAATGTGAAGCTATCTAATTGACATAAAGTTGCTGTTTCCTGTGCTTATTCCTACATTTTGCAATGCATAGCACAGCATCTGTCGCACTATATTTCATGACTAATTTGTTGCCTGTGTGGGTCTGAAATGTAAAGAAATACTGGCATAGAAAGGGGAAAGAAGTGCCACAGATCTGGCAGTAAGGAAACTTCACCCTCAAGTTGCACATTAATTTTACTTAAATGGGAATCATCAGCTCTAGACTCTTATTTTCACCCTTTTAGACAACCCACCTACCACTGCCTTTGTTTGACCATTAGGACCCCAAATAAAACCGTCACTTACACCAGGCACAGGTTCACCACTTTCCATGATGTCTTTGATCAATTTACTTCTCTCCGACAATGACGATAACTCGTTTTGGAGAAGGTCATCAGTGGACAGGTGAGTAAATCCATATTTCTTGGCTAACTGTTCACACTGGCTACCTTTGCCAGAGCCAGGGCCACCTTTGTAAGGGAAAAATATCTAGAATTAGCGAGGAATAAATGTCTTCCTTTTCTCAAATCACAGCAACGAAGAAAATGGGAGGAAATTGATGTGACTGCCTATTTTGCAATTTTTTTGTGTAAAGACACTCTACACAGTAGAACAAGTCACGTATTCCCCTTCCGATACACGACACTGCTTACTCAAAATTGAGTACCAGTGTTGAAGGAGTCACAACAGTGTGAAATCTCTTGCCTAAGAGGACCTGTTCCTAACAACGCCATTACCATAGAAAGGAAAAAAACAGGACAGACAGCCAGTGGGGAAGGGTATTTGACTGAGCAATGTTCACTGCATCCCTGAAAGGGAAATATTTTTTCCCCCCATTTAGGGAATAGAAAGGTATAGGCAAAGAGACGGTGAAAGCTGCCTCTGTTATGTGGGGGTCACGTAGGTGTACAGTAACTAAAACCTTCTGCACTGTGGTAAAAGCAAGAACAAATTTTCACTGTGCTTGTGCCCTTTGAGCTGGAAAGTTCTCACATGCCAGTATGTCTGTGGATAACTGAGAACCTGGTACTGAAGCTGCTAAATGCTGGTGAAAAGCTCGAGCGTCATGCTGCTCCCTGCAGCTGCGGCACTGCCTTGCTCTCCGTGCCGGCTGCAGGGAAGCGCGAAGTGCTCAGCCATGAAGGGCATATGGAGACCCTGGCATCCCCCCTCTTCTACATCCACTACTGTTCTCAGTCTGGAGCTGGAAAACCATGTCTGAACCAGGCCCAGAGTCAAACAATCAGAGGCATGGAGGGCAGCTTCAACCCACCGGGCACTCAGGTGAAGCTGCTCAAGGGCTTTGTGCACAGGCTGAAGGAAAGGCCCCTGCAGCGGGCCCCCAGCTCGCCACAGCTGCAGCCTGGGTGCTCAAATTCCCCGCGGCCTGCGGGGAGACAGGGAGGGGAAGGGCAGTGACTCAGGTGAATGCTGCAGGTGGGCCTCTCGTGAGAAATGGCACCCCACGCCTCCCTGCTTCGCTCAGTAGGGAGCTGTCACCACCTCAAGACTCCCAAAACTTTGCCTCTCTTGGATGCCTCTCTGTCAAGTGCCCTTTTTCTGGGGCCATGTCAAAGGCTCTGGACACCTCCTTGCTCTGCAGGTGCCGGCATTGCCCTCTCCCACCTTCTCCACGGAGGTTGCTGCTTTTCCTTCCTCGCCCTGAAGGCTGACCCTCTGAAATGCCAAATGCCTTTCCAGGGATGGCTGAGCAGCAGCAGCCACCCCAGTCTAGCTGGAGAAATGAGAAATCCATAGAAATTACTGGAAGCTACTTCTTTGGGATCCCGCTCCTGTGGCTATGACCTGCAGAGCTGCTGGCAGAACTGAGGTGAGCACCCCAGGAGGGCTGAGGCGCGTGGGGAGGGCTGAGGCGCCATGTTGGTGCTGGGGGAGGCCAGGAATGCAGGTTTCCATTGTGACAATATCAGGATTTGGGGAAAAATTTCATGGTGTGTAGCAGCATTTTTACAATCTTTGATGGCTCTGTTGAGAAGGTGTACTGCAGGGGGAGGTAATTATACCCTTGTAGGGAGACAGTGCTCAAAAATCAAAAGAAGATGCAAGGCCAAAATAAAAAACAACTATTTTCAATAAAGTTTTTTAAGAATGTGACTTGTGTATTTATCAGCTGTAAATATGACTACACAGCTCTAATATGTGGACTTAACATGCTATAAAATATACGATTTTTGATTTTGTTTATATTTCCATGAATAAATACAGGAATAACATGTTCACAATAGAGTGAATTTGGCACTGTCTCTTCCTGACTAGAATTTCTTCTAACTTTTGCATTCAGTGTAAGAAATAACTGCTCCAACCACATATTTTCAGAGAAGTTGTAATACTGTGGCTGGGAATAAAAATTGGGTCATAAGGCAGTAGCATCAAAGGAATGGATTTGTCTACTATAACCTGGAGACTTTTATTTCAGCTTCACAAAGATAATTATTTGGCCCATGGTGCGAGAATCACACTTGTGTTACAATTTTAGCTAGAAATATCTTTGTCACCGTCTCATTTTCTTTCCAATGTGGGTTGCATGTTGTTTTTCTATTCCTTTAATAAGAAGAAAATTATTCTTTGGTAAAGGCACCCATTGAAAGAAAACAAGGAATAAATAAGAGTGGCTACAGAGAAATTATAGGCAAATTATCAGTAATTACTCTGTTAAATATCTGTAGTGGCAATTAATTTTATTTCTGAGTTGTTATGGTTTTTTTCAGATTAGTGTGTTTGTGTATGCATGTGCTTGTTTACATATTCTGTCTCCTGGCCTTGAATATACTAACAGTGCAGTAATTTAATCCTATTTATTTGGTGTATACAGAGTATTAGAAAAAAACAGCTATAAAGATTACTTTATTCTGTTTCTTATATAACTGTTTCTCTTCTGAATGTAGAACTGAAACAGAATTTCACAGTGTCTCTCCATATACTAAATAAACTAGAACGCTTTTTAGAAATAACAACACAAGAACAATTTTTAGTTGTTCAGCTAGCAGGTATATATTCAGAAAAGCTGATGTGTTTCTAAAATATGTTTATCTGTTAGAATATTAGAAGTGAATGCTGTCGGAATGAGCCATTATGTAGGGCATACACCAGAATGAACATTACCATGCCTCCAAAGCATTAAAATTGAACATGTTTATTTTTTTTATAGAAGAGTTCCACCAAAGCCGAGATTAAAATGCTGAGCTCTTTAACGAGGAAAAGACATAATTAAATAAGTAATGTGCTGAAAATGGTAATTTTTTATGGCCACTGCTATTAATTTGATATCACTTGATGAGTAGCAAAGCATCCTACTGCTTGACAAATGTATATGACCCACTTTACAAAGTCTTGTGCTTTCTTATCAAGGAAGGACACAGCAGTTCTTGCTTGGCCTTATCTGAGAAGAGGCTGAATGCCCTCAGGGAATTCAGCACTGAGGGTTGAACACATACTTAGCATTTATGACAGTACTAATTTACATGCCTAAAGTTCAAGCATTAACTAATGTCTTGTCTCCTTCTGAAGGCCAGTATTTAATGTGACTGAAAAAGAGCTATTTAAGTGGGAAAGAATGTGAAAGTGCACTTTCTTACTCATTAGATACTTCCTTATGGCTCAGGGTGTATACTCATAGGACCACTACATAAGCAGATTTAACAGCAAATTAACCTTGCGGTCATGAGGCTTATTATCAATTTGTGGTGTTGCAAAACTTGCATTTCGCTCTTCTTACAGGCTCTCTTTATTAAATCTGTGCATCTTTCTACAAAAATGAGAAAAAATTAATAATTTAATTGAATAAAGTTGAGAAGGAACAACAGCTGTATATTACATATAACAAAAACTGTCACAAAGATATTTTCAGTTAAGAAGCCTTCACTGCAACTTCTGATGCTACTTGTCAGGCAGAAAAAACTTGAGATATTGGAAAAGGTAGTGAAGTTTTCCCAGTGGCTCAATTGTTAGGAGGAGGAAAGTATGTCCCCGCTTTTGTTGTGAAGGCGTGAGATTGTTTGTGAGCACTGTCATTTTTTCTGTATGCTGTCATCTCTGCCTACATATGCTTTGGAAAAAAAAAACTGTGTTAACCAGTGACACTGATTCATAGCAACTTGTTATTCAGATGAAACATGTTGTCTTCAGATTTTCATATATGACATGAAGATAAAGAGTTAAAGCCTAGAAAATAGCCAGAGGAACTATGAGTATGGTGTGACCTGTAGGAGCAGGCAGAAGAGCTACCAGCAGCCCTTCAGTGTTAGCAGGCTTTTGTATTATGCTCATTCTGCTAACTACAGCAACTCTGGCTTTAAAACTCATTCATTAACTGAATAAAAAGTTGCAGATGCAGAAGTTAAGCACATTGTATCAGTCAGATTGTTCTTGGAAACTGAATCCTCTGTGCTTTTCTGATATGAACAGTAAGCAGGTATCTGGAGCCAGGGTACTAGACAGCAAGTTCTGCATATTGCTTTTCTGAGGCCAGGCTGGATTAAAAGGCTTATGCCCTCCCTTAGCACAGTTTTCCCTTCCATTATGTTGATTCAGCTGCCTGTGAAACTGTGTAAGGGGATCTTCTGGTAAATAACTTTCTGGCAGCGCTGCTGACTTTGGTCACCTTTCCCCATTTAATTATTGCATGCAGAAATGCTTCACAGAGAACACTACAGGGAGAGGAAAAGAGTGGTCTCGGTGGGTAGGGAGAAACGACAACTGCCCAAGCAGCACTGCTGAATGTTTAACTGCAGTCTGCCCCAGATCAGGGTTTAAGAAACCGAGTCTCTTCCACCTGCTCTCCCTCATGCCCCAGTCCCCTCCAGACTAGGAAAGCCTGCCAGCCTAGGCATGGGATTCAAATGTACTGGTCTGGCCTCGAGCACAACATCACAAGCGGATGAATTAATGATGCTGGAGGGAGCTGGGACTGCCGCTGGGAGTGAGCAGGGACAGGAACAAGCAATGCGAGCAGTGCATGGACCAGCTTTGCCACTAGAATTATTAATAAAGCGGAAGTGTCATACAGACAGACCGGGAGGTCTCTACTGTAAACTTGCCAAATCTTATGAGTTCATCGTATACCAAAATACTATGAAAATTCACATAAAGTGCCAGCAGCAGGATTTACAAGCGAGTTCCATCATTCATTTTAAAATGTTTCAATTTCTAGACCTTGTTTTCATGAATATCATCCCTCTAGCATGGAAAAGTGCTTGCAAGGGAAACCTAGCTGCACGACAGAGCCTCAGAAGTCAGAATTGAAATAAAAATAATGCCAGTCAAGCTATCCTTATGTTCAAGGTATGATTTTGGAGGACTTAATCAGTTTGGCAATTCTATCAATGTTATTTGCATTATTTACACAAATAAAAATAAGACAGCTTCAGCATGTGGCATTTGAAGGCTTCTCAATAGCACCTCATCTGTTGTTCACATATGATTTTAGTCTGAGTGAAACCATATAGGAATTATGCTGTTATTTAAAAACAACAACGAAGATCCCTCAAGACTTTTTTTTTCTCTCTGAATGATGATTTTAATAAGAAAACACCCTGGAGTACCTATTGGCAGAATGATATGTCCTGGGGTATCACTGAGTTTTCATCCCTCTTAAGGAAAACATGGAGTTCATTTCATGGAAAGTCAGAGAAAGCAACTTTCATCAGCTTCTGGAGTTAGCATGTGGACTGACTGGGGTTTTAATTATCAGTACTGCTCATCCTATGCCTGTCTGATTGTAGAAGGAGCTGTAATACAGGTAGAATAATTTAGGCTGGAAGGGGCCTCATCTGGTAATTTTAAGTTAGATCAAGTCATTCAAGGTCTGACATACCTTGGACAAATAGAGTTTTGGGGTTTGTGGTTTTGTTTGGATTGTTTTTGTAAGCACCAGAAGTTAGTGTCTCCAGCTGATAATGTTTTACCTGCAAATGCAGGTGGTGATAGGATCTTCAGAAAGTCAGCTGGTCTTATTGACAGGGAGCTTAAACCATCATCAGCTTTGGTTCATCAGCAAGAATATGACAAGGGCTCTGCAGAGGAAATTGGTTATGTTTACTAAGTTTTAAACATTACATTTAAGAACCAGTGGGGAGTTTGTCTCTGATCCAAAGAGCACTGTTTCCTGAAAATTTTCTGCTTTGGTTTCAGGCTCAACCAAAGCCAATGGTGGCAATGTTCTATGAAACTCCTGTGAAGGAGAGGGAGGGATAATGCTCCCAGCAGCTTTCTTATGTATGACAATTTTCTGGATATGGTAGAATATCACGTTCGTTAAAAATAACAAGATCATACATTTGTTGATTGTATGTTGTTGTGGTGTGTTGTGGTTAAGATTTTACTTTTCAGCTTGCTCAGATGAAAAAGGCTTTTTTGGTTGGTGGGGTTTTTGTTGCAGGTTACGGTTTTGGTGGGTTTTTTGGTGGTTTTTTTTTAAGTACCTGGCCATAAATACATAAATTTCAAATTATGTATTGAGCATCCCCCCAATTTAACTTTGCATCTGTTTAATATTTTTTCTTCTCTTGAATTTTACTTTACAGGCCAATTTAACTTTTTGGTTTTTTTCTTCTGTTATTACGCTGTTGTTATCCTCCATATTTTTGTCTTGCTGGTTCTATGTCTCTGCTGTCAGGATGAAACATCGACATCATTGCTTAATTACTCTGAGTTGACTGTTATTCCAATTAATTCCTACATTACCTCTAATGTAAATCTTTGCTAATTAGATGATTGTTTTTCTTTCTCTTTTTGGACAATTTTCAAGGGAAATTATTGGGGGAGGGAACTGCTTGCTTTTTTCTCTTTGTCTTGTAAACAGTATCTCAATTTGTCAGCTATGGCAGAAGGTGTATTTACTTCAATTAGTTTGTAAACTACTTCAAGTGCTTATATTTAGCACTCCTAGTTTTAAAACATCTTTGTAAGCATCTTATTATTTCCTCATGAATACACCTGTGTAATGAGTAAACATTCCTAATGACAGCTGAGACTGAGACAGTTATTCCTGTTCAAATATCTACAGCAGCATGCTTCAGCCCATCTTGTCTGCGTTCTTTCTCGTCGGGGCATCATGGGCTAAACACTTCCAGTGCTGTGCACTGCAATGGAGCCACTCAGAATTTGTGATCCCCTTTGGGTTTTGTTTTGTGGTTTTTTGGGGGTTGTTTTTTTTTTTTTTAACATAGAATTTTCTTCTGTTTCTAGAAAGTCTGAGATGGATGTAAAAAAAGCAATAAATAGGGAAAAGGTGTGTTTTCAGTTCTAAACTGGAAGATGGCTAGTAGAAAGCCTATAAAATATTATAAATGAAAATCAGAAACTGATTTTTGAAAAAGCAGTTCAGAGGTGATTGAAAAATATGCCATACAGTTTTGAAGGCAGAATTCCTTGAGCATCTTCATTTTTTTGTGTGTGTGGTTGTACAAACCCAAACATAATTTTCCAATAAGGTATGTGAGACAAAGAGAATGAAAACTTGTCGCTAGCCAAGAGCAGGAAGATGTAGTTCAGTAAGCACGAAACTGCAGTTTGCTTGAAGACTGAAAATTGTGTTATACATCTTTTGCTGAACAAAAGTCTCCAATGAACTCTTCAGTCACCTAATTTCACTTTTTCAAGCACATAATATCCACCATAGATTTACAATAAATTGAGTCAAGTTTTGTTTGGTATAAGATAGGGTGAGATATAATTCCAACACATAAACATGCTATCTTTTCACAAAATCCTTAGATTGGAAGGAACCTTTTGGGATCATCTAGTCAAACACCTCTGTTACAGCAGGGTCAGCTAAAAGCAGGTTGTTCAGACTCTTCAGTCTCTCTGGGCAACCTGTTCTGTGTTTGACCACCGTCACAATAAATCAGTGTTTTCTTGTATTCAGGTGGCCTTTCATGTGTTTTAAGTTGTATCTTTTTTTCTCTTGTCCTGTCACTGGGCAATACTGAGAAGATTATGGCTCCCTCATCTTTCTTCCTTCCCATCAGGTATTTATATGTATTGATAAGATCCCCTGGAGCATTCTCTTCTACAGGGTGAAGAGTCTGTGCTCTGAGCTTTACACAACTGTCCTTAGCATGGTCAGACCCACATTACCAACTTGGTATTAAATCCAAACTCCCTTTCAAAAGACTAAACCACCACTGCAGTGTAAATACTCTAAACCTAACTGTTCTACTAAACTTTAAAAGAAATCATGTGCTTATAGTCAAAACTCTGTAACATGGGGATTTTCAAATCTAGCAGTTAAATGAGGAATTGTACTTACCAACTACAAAAATTATGTTTGATTTCCTCAGGTCTTCTGAAAAGTCTAAAATGAAAATAAAATTTCTTTAGTTGGCAAGAGCTAATAATTTTGATCTTAGCTACTTTCCACACTGAATTGTGTAACATTCATGCAAGGTGGTATGATTTTACTAGATTTACCTTCTACTACAATGCTCCATGTTCCAAAAGGAACTATTATCCACAAGCCTATTTATCTCATGATTTTGTAGTCATCACTGCAGATAGGATAAAAATTTTACCTGAAAATCAGAGCTTGCACATACCCATCAGCTCTTTTAAAAAAAAGAAAAAGAAAACCACACCCAAAAAACGCTGACGCATCTTGATGTAATAACTTGCTGCCTGGGCCGCTGCATTTTTCCCTTCATAATTGCTATAGAAGTTTGTCCACATCCCATTCAGATTTTATATTCAGTGCACTACATCTGAGATGTAGTTGCAGATACCCCTGGGCCTCAGGTTCAGCCAAATAATAGTCATCTTAAATGAAATCCAGGTATTAATCTCATTTCAGCACCAAAACCACTGTATGTACTACAGCTTTGCCTTTTACTGAAACTGTGTTTTTTTTAAAAAAGATCCTTCTAGTCTGTATAATATAATCAGTCATTGGCCTGCTTATACCAGTACAGAAAGTGATCTTGCACCATCTGAGCCTGCCGGAGTTTTTTTATATCTTGACATAATCACTTACAAGACACATTGATTTAGCACGTACAATTTTGTTTATTTATTATGATGTGGCATGTACATGTCTTGCATAATATCATTAACCATAAAAGGTTTTGATTAATCCTTTCACTCCTCTGAGGCTCTTAGCAGCTCATACTTTCCATCACGTTTCTCATAACTGCCAATTTGTGAAACCACCTATGATATCTGATGCCAATTAACAATAATATTTTCTAGCAATTTTGGATCCACTGGCCTGAAGAGTGTAGAAATGTCTTTTACAAGTTTTAATTTACCTTCAGAGAGAATTCATATGATAAAATCCTTTGAGGCACAACTCACAATAACCTGAATTCATGTTACTTTCTAAGTAACTATTGAAATAGAATGGGAAATCAAAGGTTTCAAAATTAAATGGCAAATGATACTGAAAAAGAAACTCACCTCCTGTGCTCTCATAACCGGAAAAACTTGACTGATCCTCCTCCTGTTAATTGAGCAATTGACAAATTGAAATGGATGTTCTGCATAGTTGGCATTTCTTCCTACATCTGCTTGTATGTATATCTTCATATTCTAACCCCTCCATTCTATTCTATGTTGAGATATGGTTAAAAATGTCACACAAATGCTGTTAGTACTGTTTCAGTTGATGAAATGTGAGCATGGAGAAGACATGCTTGAGATGAATAACTGACCCTGCACTGTTTTTTCAGTGCCCAACTGCACAGTTCCAGCGTAATATATAAGCAACCAGTGTGTGTGCTGACTTGCTTCCAAAGTAAACATGGTATGATAAGCTGTTAGTGGTGGGACAGCAATATGGGAGTAAGTTCTACATGTGAGCTATGACATAAAGATGAAATTAGTCTTTGGTCTAAAACAACTTGAATGTGTTCATCTGGAATGCAACACAAGCTACAAGTTGTTACAGAGGCTGCTGAACTACAAAGGGAGATTACACCAGGGAAATAGGAAACTTGGCATGTGCTTTTTCCTGATACTTGGCCACTTAGAATTGTTTTGTCAGGCTCTGTACAGTACAACCAATGAGAAATTAAAAATAATGGCCATCAAGAGTGTCAGAGTGGGAATTCTTTGCTGTTCTTACAAATCAGATTTGTGTACGTGCTGGACATAGCCTAGGTTATGTAGTGTCAATGTACTCACACCATCAGTGCTTTAGTCTATAAAATATCAGTAATAGCATTGACAGTAACATGTCCTATTACATCATCAGTGTGTAATATCACCATGGAATACAGTATGCTAGTCCTCTCAAAATAGCATAAGGTTATCAAGCTGCAGTTTCTCACAGTTCTGCTTCAATATGCTTTCAGAAATAGCCACTCCTAGAAATGTGCATACCTGCAAGAGCAGATAAAGTGAAACAAGCAGCATGATGAATAGAACTGGTAAATTACAGGCCACTGTAATTTGCTAAGGGTCTTGTACTACCCTTGCAGGTTTCTCCTTGTGTTCCCATTATCACCAAGACAGAAATACCCTTCATCAGGTTGGAGTACCATTATATTGGCTACACAGAACATTTTCATTTTTTGTTTTACAGTAATTCCCAGTCTGTTACACTGCAGCAGGAGTACTGCCATCTTACCAAAAAAAAAAAAAAAAAAAAAAAAAAG